ATTACATAATACTTTAATAAACAAGTTTTTGATATAATTTGGTTTTAATAACTTTTTATATAAAAGTTTATTTTGAAGATTTAACAAATATATAAAAACTTTCATTATGCTTAATGAATTTTGTTAAGTTGCTTTTATTTACCAGTAAACTCTTTTAAATTATTTATAAGCCTTAGGCTTTATGGGGACAATCTGCAAATTTCCATTTATTATTGTAAATGTTTAATATGTATTTAATATATGTTAAATGTGTAATTAATTATTACTTTATACAGATAAGCACTCAGAAATTTGTTCAAGATTTTTATGTAATGATCTCTATAAATAAAATCTTCAAAAGGGCTGCCCATAAATGATACCATGCCTCTTACAGCAGTAGTAGTACTAAATGATACAATATGATGAGGGGGAAATGATTCTTGACATCATGTTTCATATTTACCATTTATCATATAGTATAGGTTTTTTTTAATACAGTATATCACATTTAAAACATATTGTTTAAAACTTTAGTGTTTATACTTAAATATATATAAGAACACTAAAAATAGTGTATGTATATTATACTCTTACATTACTGCAGCTGGCAATAAACAATTTGTTACGGCCACAGTGAAGTGATTGGTGCACTTTTTATGACTGTAATAGTGTGGAATTTATATCATCACATTCTCATTATTTGTATAGTACATTATATTACACTTTTCAGTTCTGCTTTTACAAGCCTGAAGTCAAAAGAATGTTATGATAAGTAATGTTATGAAATTTTTGTGCCGTTGGTATGTAGTCATGGGTTGTTTTTGTTTCTGATCTATTGACATAACAAAAACAAATGCAAAATTACCTTGTTAAACTTAATACTGTTGAGTTAAACAAAGCAATTTTTTATACATAGTGGCTGCCACATATTGAGATCACTGGTTAATGTTATCAGCTACTTAATATAATCAAAACATGTTTTCTCAAACCACTTCTACATTTCTTGTGTAAAATCTTGCCGATTATATTGATCAGCCCTCTAATTATTGTTATCAGAATAAACTAGGGCATTTATGCTATTTATAACTGACAAATTAGAATTAGTTTAAGATTACTTTTCAAAAATATTAGCTATTAATTTTCTTGTAGTATTATTTAATAATTATCTTTGCTATTTTTTTAGATGTAGCACAGATTATAGATTTATTAAAATGTGTTTTGTGCCAGTTGGCATATCATTAATTTAGAACACCAAAAAATTTAAACAAATAAATAAACATTGGAGTACAATGGTAACTCCAATGTTTACTTATTTGTATCTATCAATATTTTTATTTATTAAATAATACCATAAATTGATTTCCTTTAGTTTTATGTAGTTTTTTAAATCATAGTTTAATTGCTATTGTATTGATGCTGTATGACCAAGGTCTATAAACAAAAGGTCAGGACATGATTCCATGATGCATTGGCAGTTGCCATATTGATTCTTTTGGTAGACCAAATTTGGCAATCTGTTTTTTTTCAAACTCAATTAGCTGGATTTCATGTTAACTATTTTTGTTTTAAATGGTTTGGTGTTTGGCACCAAACTGTACAAATTTTTCAGTAAAAGTTCTGTTTTCTCACTGACAAAGCCAGGAGAGCTAAATGGTTTCAATATTGCAGAGATAAGTGGAAACAACTGAGAATTTCAGGCTGTATGAGGTTAGTGGATAAAATAATGTTGAAAAAATAAATTTGTGAAGTGTTTACAATAACTTTTGTAATGTAATGTAATGTATTGTAACTGAATCTTTTAGATACATTTTTGAAGAGTCACAAGTTGAAGTTAAAAGAATGAATAGGAGAAAATTACTGCAGCTGATAAACAAAACTTAAATGTGTAACTATTATTAATATTTCATTGCTTTGTTTTAAATTACTAGGTATATTTTTTTATTATATTTGGTAAATTTTAAATTTGTAGGTAAAACTTTTCCATAAACAATGTACAGTATTTTCTTTACAGTTTGTAAATAAAATCTAGCCTTGTACAGTATACTATAATGTCCAAAATTATCCCTTAAAAAGATGTTTATTGTTATTTGTTTAGTGAAGATCTTCACTAAAAGAAAGATGAAAACAACGATGAAAAACTGCATCTAGTAAATCTTCTCTAAAGAAGTTTCAGATATTTAATTTCTAAATAAAATTTATTCTTGTACTGCAATGGCTAATATCAATTATTTATTCAATTTAGAAATAGAATGTAGTATCTTTGTACTGTATTCTATAAGTTTTGACCAAGGAAGTTTGAGTTTTTCAATAGTTTAATAGTTTTTGTAATTACATTAAAGTACTGTCTCAGATCAGTACCAATCCATAGACTGTGTTTGTTATAATGTTTGTTTTCTGATAGGTTGTATAACAACATATGTGACTTATTAAACAGAACAACAGAAACATTAGAATAATGGATTTATTAAACATTAAATCTGTTATATGTTGTTTGTGGACTGAATACATACTTTAAAATTTAAAATAAAATAATTGAATTTAAAACTCATTTAAATTAATATTTTATAATAATTGAGAATAATGTAATATAATACAAATTACATATTTTAAATGAATTATTAACGTTTGTTGCTTAATAATTATTTTATTATAAAATAAACAATAGAATAAATAAAGATGAAGCTGATATTGCCTACTGTTTAATAAATTTTTATAAATATACTTTATTTAATTCATTATAAAAATAATTAAATTTAGTTTATATGCATAACTTCCTTCATTTAGGAATAATCTTATTATCTCTTGCAAACACTTTTGAAGATATATACTTTACTTTATATATAAAGTTTGAGAGAAAGGTTTTCTTTTATTTTGATCTAATTTTACTTTTTAAAAATGTTTACTCTGATGTATCTCTTTGCAGTTTGTGTAAAGTTGCATATGAATATAGAAAAGTAAATATATACTTATTTTAACAAGTATCTTCAAATTTTTTCTGTAATTTGACATTTCAGAACGAAATAAATTTATCTTTCTACTGTAAAATACGGATCATTGACATAGCATTTTATTTTTAAATCTATTTAGTTAACATCTTGAAGTAAATGTCGAAATAGCCTCTGAATGAAAAGATACTCTTTTGGAATTTTATAAGGAATTCTGTGGCTTGAATTCGAAGGAACTTGCAGTAAAGAGCGTGAAATCTGTACCCTGACCATGGAACTTAAGGTACCAGAATGGCGATTCTATAAGGAACAATAGCGTCCTGATCTTGGTAGGACAGATGGTCAACTTTTCGTTGCTGCAATCGACTTTCATTACAGTATATTAAAATCAGTCATTAAATTTATGGTAACATCAGTACCAACTGTGACCCCCCTATATAGTAAAAGAAGTATTCATGTTTTCTCTCGTGATTTAATGTTGAGAATAATTTAATATTTTTTAATTCGATAAAAAGATGTGTTACGAAATTGTGTTACTGTTACTAGATTGATCTATCGACTGGTTGGCCACTCTTATCTTAAACACATGGCCATTATACACTGGTTGCCCTGCAAGGTGATGGCTGTTGGATAATATTTTCAGCCATTTGTTGTTATCAAAACAGTCTTGAATCAGTGTGATCGTTATAAGCGGGATTATTATCTGTAGAATTTCGATATCAATTATGGCATGGGACTGACAAGTGAGACCAAGTATACTACTACCATGTATATTTAACACTTTAAACAAGTCTAACACTGGAAATAACTGCATAGACTTGTTTGAAAAAAAATTTTTTTTCAAAATGTTACCGAGGAAATATGAAGAAGTCATACTTGATGACGTTAGCTAAATCTGTAGACTGCAGCATCTTTCCATGGATTACAGGGAAACAACTTTTGAATTTGTTTGGAATCTTTTGTTCGAGAATATAATACAGACATTGAGCGTAAGGATACTGCTGTCGTAGACATGTTAGTACAAAGAATTTTCATGGACGGACATACTTCCGACATTTCCATTGTTTCAACTGAAGTACACCTTACAAACCCTTTGGAGCAAGGTACAGGCAAAAATAAAATTTTGATTGATGTAATTCTATTGTTAAGTAGTGTTTTATTTTGATAAAAGTGTAAATAAATCATTTTATGTTAATTAATATTCATTACAGAATTGATGGTATATTTAGGTCGTAATACGAGGTACTGCTTTGTTGAGGGTGACGACCAATATGGCATCATTTGTGAGGGAAGCTTTGTCATAATCTGACAATGAGGAACAAGGTTAAAAATATGGAATTTTATTAAAACATCATTGGCAGATGGCCTCAAAATTTCTTTCAGCAATTTTTAATTAATAAGCTTTTTCAATAACTATTTTTAGCTTAAAATATCTGAAATGTAACAGAGAATATGAGCAGTTTTTCAATGGAAGATCGAAAGTTGCGAAGAATGTGGAAGAAATAATGTATAATTCTTACACAGACTAAAGTATTTGTCTTTATATGCGATATAATATGAATTGTTTTATAAAAAGGTAAATATTATGTTACATTTTTTAAGAATTTGTCTTTTTAAATCTTTTAATTCTGTTAACGAAAATATTTTTTTCTTTACAGGATAAAATTTACTTTAATCTTTCTATTTTAAATTCTGTACTGTTTATGTAAAGGATTATTGGCGTTTAATTAGGGAAGCTTATTGATGAGACAAACAATGGAAATTTGAATACGAAATCTGATTGGTAGAAGTTTGAAGATAATGGACCAATAAGAAAACTCTTTCCATAGATCACTATATAAGATGAACCCCTTTCAGTAAATATAAGCTTTTGTGTAATTTTTCTCGAAGGTCTGTATCTAGTCATTTCAAAATCATGTCGAGCATTCGAATTTATAAGAAACCTAAATCCGAGACGTCTGAGAAACGTGTTCTAAAAGTTTTAGTAGATTTTGATAAAATAGAGCTAAAATTAGTTACAAAACTGAATATACTTCAAACTAAAATCAACGAAAAGAGAAATATTGTTGAAAAAAGTTCACAGACTAACCAAAAAGGTAAGATTACTGAAAACCGCCACGTTTCTTACATTTTATTTCTACGTTAAGAAATTAATACTTTAGTTCTTTATATAATAATTATTTACGTGTTTATAATTAAATATAATTATCGTTCTTAAATTTTATTTTATTTTATTTTTTTCTTGTGTTTAGAATTATGTAAAGTATTGAAGAAAATACATAAATATGAAGAAAAATTTGACAGGAAAACATATGAATTAGCCTGTATACGGCTACAACGGTAAGCTCCATGTTTCTTGTCGATAGAAGTTTATTTCTGAAAATTGTTTGAATATAGTTGATATATTTAATGTTTTTTTTTTTTATTTTTTTACGGCAGAAGAGTAGCAATAATGGAGGCGAGAAAGTAGTGAAATTAGCCGTGTTCTCTTTCCTGCTGGTTCCCGTAATTTGATTCGGATTTAATGTTCTCGTCATTGGAAACATGAAGATTATTGTCTAATGAATTTTGTGTATCTGTCTAGTCAATTTTATTAAATGCAATATTTTGAATAGAGTTAATTGGTGTTTAACAAAAAATGTGTTTTCTTTCTGCATTTTATTTATTTTTAATTTTTGGCTAAGGAGTGAATGTATACCTCTCCTGTCACCGAGCGCGATGCACACATCTGACGATTGCTTGATGATTTATGTTTTTTAATAATAATAATAATAAATTAAATCCTTATTTTGGATAGTCTCAATATTCACCATTTGAAATTTTAAGCAGAACTTTTTATATTTTTAAATTTCCAGAGCAAATAAAATCTGTTTAAAATTCGAATCTGGAATAATGTAATTATCCAAATAGATTTGATTAGTGAAGATTAAAAAACGTCAAAAATTGTTCAAGATTATTATTATTATTTTAAAGAAATAATTAAATATAATGTCAGATTTTTAAATTCTTTGTTCTAATCACAATTTGTCCCGAAATCCAAATTTTAAATTAGATGAATAAATATCTGAACAGATCAAACGTTTGATATTTATTATTGTTTTATTTAAATAATCTTATTTATAATAGAATAAGTAGAAAAATTCTAAGGAATATATTGTACTATTCATTTGAAAGTACGTATTCATATTCAAACAAATAATCCTTACAAAAGAAACTAATTTAATCCATTATTTCTATCTCTCTTTTTTTCATTTTACGATTAAGTTTTGTCAAGGCACAAAATGAATCCTACAAAAGATAACTAAAATTGAATTACATTTAACTACAAAGTAATCGATTTTATAAATTAGGATAAGCTATATATAATCTTCTGACCTTTGTTTAGTACCAAGCATGGCAATTTTCTAGCAAATATCTATTAATAGATTGTCTATCTTGGATGTGTGAGAGTTTTTTAAATCGAAGATTGGCATTGAAATTTCGTATTTTTTGACAGGATTAAAAGAAAAAATTCAATTCGGTTTAATCATTTTTTAAAGAAATTGACTTCTATAGGTTTTAATGTTATGAGTAGTTAAAGAACTTAATAGACAGTTATTTTCTCTGTAAATTACACTTTAAAATTCTGAACTAACGAAACGGCTTGAATGTAGCTATTAACTGTTTATCTACTGAAACGTTAATCTGATAAATAAATCCATCTGCCACGTTTAAATTAAAATAATAGACATTTTTAAAGGCTTATAATTTCAGTAATAAATAAAATTATTCTTTTATAATAGATCTTTTATGAGAAAATATTTATCCAAAAAATTACTTCGAAGAAAAATCTCTGAAGTTAACACTACATGGCTCCCTAATTTAAATTTGTCTGGGCCCCATGAAACTAACGCGATACTGAGTTAGGGCCTCATTAACGCTTGATATATCCGGCCACAGCAAGTGATCGCGCCTTAAACTTTTGAAAACAATGACAAACCGGTTTGTGAAAAACGTTGTAAATAGAAGGGAGATGAGGCCCTAAGGGTTCACCTATTATCATCTATTTACAACATTTTTGTCCTGTATCTTTTAGTGATTCAAAGAAATTATCTGAGGGCATCAAGTGTTAAAATGGCAGAAACAGCCAAACTTCGACTTGTGCTATTGTTTGATTGCTTCTGAAATCAACACTAAACTGAAGTATCTCGAACAATAAGAACTATATAAAATAATGGCGTTTACATATGAGTTTGAGCGTTTTTAAAATTGCGATTTGGTGACGACAATACCGTTTGCAATATAAAGTTGTACGTTTAATAGGTTAATTCAGATCCGTTTACAAGTATTTATTGGTGGTACTTAGGTGTATTGTATCGAGTTTTGACTGTATCTTAATTTTAAAAAGATGAATTACAGTTTTTATTGAAATGTAGTGCAATTTATATACAGTAAATATATATGTATATGAGCTTAAGACAAGCGCAAAAAGTTTTTTAAACAAGATTATATAGAATTTTTAATATTTTATTATACAGAATATACAGCATACAGAAAATATTTTTAATGGACTTTTTTAAAAATTAAACATCCGTTTAACGAATTATTACATATTAATCCTAAGAAAAAGAAGAGAAAATGATAAGAAAATTAATGAAAAAAGCATATTTGGAATTGGTAGTTTATTTTTTTGTCATATTATGCTAGTTGTATACTGTTGGATGGGATAAAAATATGGAAATAATTCGCAATATTCCGCTCAGAAGAATAAATTCTATATTAAAATTGTATACATAAATTTATAGGTCTATACTGAAACATTTTATAAAGTTTTCTTTTTAAAATATTAGTTATATAACTCATGGTAGTAACATGAAAATATTAATTTAGTAATTATTCTTACATGAGCTAGCTGTTTAAAATTTACTGTACCTTCCTTAACAAATTATAATTGAAATAAATTTTTAAAGAATTCTTTCTTTAAAATACGAAGTAAAAGTTTAAATTTTAAAAGTAAAAGCTCTTTGTTAAACTAATTAAAATAAAAAGCGAGATTCTGAGAATTTTTTAATATCAACTTGTACTTCCAATGTTTCATCCATAATTTTGAATTGTACAAAAATACTGTATTGAAAAATAGAAATAATTTAGAAAAGGTCTAAAGGAATGGTTTTTCAATATTTTCTGCAATAAGCTTTTAGGAATATCGTAGGATTTTCTGAATTTTAAATTTAATAAATTATTGGGTGTATGTTATGATGCACATACACACCAACAGAACACAACACAACACATATCAAAGTCAGTCAGTTAAGGTGCCGGCTTAAAAAACAAGTGTCGAAAATCACTGCTCTAAAGTGTTAAATTTCAAAATTAAATTAATTAACCATGTTTAAATATTTTTTAGGTTTAAAAAAAGGTTTAAACATGGTTCTTAAATAAATGATTTTTGTATATCAAGTTTCAGGTTATCCGTTCTTTTTAAATAACCGATAAAATTCTGTTTTGTTTTTTTTAAAAAAGAAGAAAATGTATTAATAAAGATTACTTTATATTTAATATAAGATGTTCGTTCTATCAAATGCGAGACAAAGTGAAAACTCATTTAGCACTGCTTGTTTATATCCAGTGGCGCGTTATCTTATGAACAAAAAGGGGCCCCACCAAATAGGGGGCTTAAACCAATTTTTTCTAAGAAGATATTTCTTTCCGAAGAAAAATGTCTGAAGTTAATACTGTACGTGGGGCCAGTGCCGGCCCGAGGCAAGTTTTAGGATGGAGCGAGATCCTATTATGGCGCCCCCCTTGGTTGCCCCTAATTTATACCCTTTGATTTTCTTTATCACTGATGCGGTCCCTTGGACTTTGCGCCTAGAGCGGCTGCTCCGTTCGCCATATGGTAGGGCCGGCTCTGCGTGGGGCCTCTTAATTCCAATTCACCTGGGCCCCACGACGCTATAGCACGCTATTGTTTCTATATTTTAAACTATGTAAGCATAATATTTCATTTTATCTTCAGTAAAATATAAATCTAATTTATATTTAATTTTTAAAATATTATATTTATGAAATAATTGTTGTAGATTATAAAATTTACATATTTAAAACAATAATCTTATCAATAACTTAATTTTAAAAAAAATTATTTTTTAAGTGATTGAAAGTATGTTTTATAAAGATTGTTTTTTTTTTGTTTTTGGATTATTGGAATTTCAAATATTATATTTTAAACAGTAAAAAAATATAGATTTATTGATTTATTAAACTTATTATTTTTGTAATAATTTATAATTGATTATCTATAAATTTTTAAAAGAATTTTTTGTTTTTTTACTTTTTAATGGAGGGTTGTATTTTGCTTTCAATGATAATTATAGTAGACTTTTAATATAGTGAACAGTTTGTTGGCCTTCTCTATGTAAAATATATAATAAACTCTTCGTATAGCTCAGTCCTTTGAGAGTTCACTATGTGGAGTGTTTACTGTACTTAGTTTTTTTTTGTAGATGAATAAATAAATAAAATTTTTAATGTAAAGATTATTACAGAGTAGTTTAATTAAAGATACAATTAGAAAAACGAAGCAAATTTGTAAAAGTAGGATACTTTATACCTTACTTTAAATCAATTTTTCGAACATATTTCCTATAACAAATTTTTTATGCATTCTGCTAAGGTAAATCTGTTTTTTTTTTCTATTATTTTTTCGAATGTAGAAAATAAATCAATGATTTAAATATTAAGCAGTTTACAAATGCAGTTCCTCAGGAAGAAAAACAGTGCTTTAGTATTATTTTTTTAATACTGATTCTATATATTTAAACAATTTTTACAGATGATTGTCAATTCATTGAATATTCTGGTAAGTGTTCTAATTATTTAATTATTTGTTTGTTTGTAAATTGTAATTTTTGATGAGAATTTTTTAAATACACAACAAATTTTTTTTTTGTATTTAAAGAATCGAAGATAATTTTTTTAATCAAGATTATAAGGAAGAAAAGTGTATGATAATCTTATAATGAATTTTAAACTTCATGCATCTTTCTCAAACAAGAAAGAAAGAAATTTATAAAGCAGATTTAATTTCAATGTACTGGTATATGGCGAATGTAAACGAATATTTTTTTACATACGTCTGTGTCGCAATTATACATCCGACATTGAAAATATTGCTTAAAGTTAAGACGTTTTCCCCCACTTTCTTTTAAAATATTTGGAATATATATTCTTTAAATTAAAACATATATTTACAGATGAAAATTTTATGAAACAAATGTTCAACAAACGAAAAATTGATAAATATTTAATGAGTGAGAGTTTTTTTTTATCATGTATGAAGTTGTAGAAATAAATGAACTTTTAAATATACTCTGATTCGTTTATTGCGAAATTTATGAAATGTTTTTCAATGATTTCAAAGAAATTAACATAAAATGTTTTTGTTTTTCTCTTTTCTCTATTTCTTAATATTGTTGTTTGTTGTTATTTCCTCATCCAATTATTGTGTACTTAATTTCAAAGTGGTGAAGTAAAGAATTCGTAAAAACGTGTTCTGTTTATTTACTTACATAACCTACGTACATACGTGCATATATATAATTCCATTTTATATATTTAAACAATTTCCATTTATATGCAC